GTGAATTTGAGATGAGCATGATGGGGGAACTAAACTTCTTTCTTGGACTACAAATCAAACAAACGGAAAGAGGTATTGCAATTCACCAACAAAAGTATGTCAAGGAACTCCTGAAGAAATACAACCTTGACCAAGCAATGACCAACCAAACACCAATGGGAACAGGCACAAGGTTAGATGAAGATCTACAAGGAACTAGTGTAGATCAAACCAAATACAGAGGTATGACCGGATCCCTTTTATACTTAACTGCTAGCAAACCTGACATTGCATTTAGTGTTGGCTTATGTGCAAGGTTTCAATCTAATCCTAAGGAGTCACATCTTACAGCAGTAAAAAGGATCCTAAGATACCTCAAAGGAACTGACCATCTCTGTCTCTTCTATCCTAGAAGTGATACCTTTTACTTAAAAGGTTTTGCAGATGCTGACTATGCAGGAGATTTGGTGAACAGGAAAAGTACTTCAGGAATAATTTAGTTTCTCGGGCCGTGCCTAGTTTCTTGGGGATCCAAGAAACAAAACACAGTGGCCTTGTCAACTGCTGAAGCTGAATATGTTGTTGCTGCTGCCTGCTGTTCTCAAGTACTTTGGATAAAACAACAACTAGGGATTATGGTATGAAGTATAATTGCATTCCTATCTATTGTGATAATACTAGTGCTATATGCATTTCAAAAGATCCAGTTCATCATTCTCGTGTAAAACACATTCACATAAGGCATCATTTCCTTAAGGATAATGTGGAAAAAGGCTTGATTAAGTTAGATTTTTGTGAAACTGAAAATCAAATTGCTGACATTCTTACTAAGCCTTTGAGCAGGGACAAATTTGAAAAGATGCGCATGGAACTTGGTATGATACAATTGAGTTAAGAAGACCTCAAGTTCCCCTAAGGTATAAGTCAATAATGCATGCATTATATGTATCTTACACAATACGAATATGTGAAAACATAGTCCTGAGAATTGGAATGTATGGCATTGCATATGGGATTGTGGCTGTATGTGAAGAAATAAAATTGTATTTAGTTTATCTATAATATTAACAAACTATGTTGATTTGTTCCAAGTTCCTCCGAATTATTTCATAAGATTTCGTTTTTATCCTTTCACAAATTAATTAGCTAAGTCAGTTAATTAATTTTATCTTCTTGAAAATCTTATCTTATATTCTGATTTTGAATTATCCTTAAAATATCTATCTTTTTAAATTCACATCCATCTGTTAAATTCTTCATTCAAATACCCTAGAACCTTCGCATTTAATTCAAAGCTTCTGATCAAACAATTAATCTAGACTACCTTGTTAAATCACTTCAAGATTAATCTGACCAAGTGAGAAGTATTTTTACCATATCTCTTCAAACGACACCTACCACATTCAATTCACCTTCTACACTATTCCACCGACCTATTTCAACTCTCAAAATTCACCCCACTATAAAATGAAACCAAACCCTAACCACTGTTCCTCACCACCTTACTCCGTAAAATACACTCTCATCTTCAGTGATTCTTCTCCAATTCCCATGGAAATCTCACCAAAAATTCAAAACTCACCTCAAAAGGAATCGCCCATGGAAATTGAGACTGATACCTCAACTCAAGCCCTCATTGAAAACCCTCAAAACAAACCCATGGCTCGGAGTGATTCGAAAAAGAGGAAGTTAGAGGTTGAAGAAGAATTGGACTACGAGGAACTTGGTGAACCGATTCAGGGGGAAAAATCGAAGTCACCTGCTGTCAAGAGACTTGAAGCAAGCTCTGAACGATTCATCGCTGGTTTCTGCATTAACCTAAAGTGGTGTGAGTTGTGTAAGTATTCTGAACTTCTTGATATTCTTGAAGCTCAAAATTGGGTTAAGTTGTTTAGTGAATGTTATGACAATGTGATTGCTCATGCTCCGTTAAAAGAATTTTGTGCAAATTTTGGTGTGTGTACAAGTAGAGTTAAAAATAAGAAAATTAGTTTTGATGCTGATGATCTAGCTGCTGTGTTTGGGACTCCTAATGAGGGGTTCGATGAGTATTTTAAGGGAGAAACTGAATTGAGGGTTGATGGTGTTCCTATTGAAAAAATCGTTGAATCAATTGGGGGTAAAGCTTCCAAAGTTCGAACCAACCATAATCTGTTTTCAAATATACAAAAGCTACTCTTTATTTTTGTTCACCTAGCTATCATTCCAAGAACCCAGCATAGACATGAGGCTAATCACCTTGATGCTGTCCTTATGTACTTTCTTGAAAACAAAATACAAACAAACTTTCCTTCCTTGATGATCCAACACCTCACTCACTGCCTAGCCAACCATTTGAAGGTTGGATATGCCAATTTGCTAATTACTTTTCTTGAAAGTTGTGGTATCTCCATGGCTAACTATGAAAGCCTCAAGCTTAAAACAAACCACTACGTGCAACCAAGAACCCTTGAAGCCAGAAACCTGACTGTTGTTGATGGAGTCACCCAATTTCTCACCAAATCTCTCCCTAAACCTAAGCAGGATGAGAGCAGTGTGAAGAAATTAGAAGAAGAGGAGTTGGACAGGTGGTTGGAGGAGGAAGAAAGTGAGAGAGAGGGAGAAAAGAAAGAAAAAGAAGTGATATTAATGCCTGCAAAGAGCACTCCTAGTGTTGGAAAGAGGAAGAGTAAAAGGTTAGCTTTTAGGCCAAAGGGGAAGGACAAGGCAGAATCCACTGCACTAGTGGATTTGAGTGAAGAAAAGAGCTTGGGAGAAGAGAGAACTTTTGTTCAGGGGGAACATGGCACATTTAAAGAAGCTACAGTTCAAGCTGGTGAAGGAATGGGTTTGACTGGTCTTGGTTCTGTCAGCTTTACTTTGCAATTGAGATCTCTAAAGGATACAGTGCAAAGGCTTGTTGATGCTCAGCCTGTTCTAGTTCAAAGGATTGAAGCATTAGAGAAGGTGGTAGGAGACCTGGTGCAGGCCTCCAAAGTGCTCACCACCACCATGCAGCAGAGCACCTTGACCATATCACAAGGCCAAGCTGATCTCTTGAAGAAACTGGAGGACCTGGTCATTGAAGAGGAAGATGCAGGAGAAGAGCATCCATCATCTACCCCAGAAGCCTAACTCTATTCCTTTCTGTCTTAGCTATTAAATTGTTTATCTTTGAACTTGGTCTGGATTGAACTTTGTTTTATTTTGTCTCTTTGGGTCTGTAAACACTTAAACAGGGTATTTTGATTTTCTTGGTGTTCTTGAGGAACATTAGTTTGTTTTTATGGATAATGCTTACTTGCTTTATGACTATTTGCATACTATTTCTGCCTATATGTGCTTTGTTCTATGCTTGGGACACAAACCATTAAAATGGTGTTGTGTTTAGATATATATGTGCATTAATTTTGATGAAAGCCAAAAGGGGGAACAGAAAAGGCAAACTCAATTGTTGACAAGCTTCTCCATCCATCTGCATACTAAGGTATATAAGGTATATAACTTTTAGTTCCTTGTTTAAATTTACTAGTTCATTTGAGTTTTAAGATTTTTTTTTTCTGTTTTCTCTCTGATTGTCTTTTAGTTCTTAATGAGTTTGCTTAGGTTTGTCATTCATAAAAAAGGGGGAATATTGTTGACCTTAAGTTTTGATGATGACTCAAGAAACCTAAGCAAATCCATAGGTGTTTTAACCTTTGTCTATTAGCTTTGATTTGTTGACAGGTTTTATGCAAAGAAGTTCTAGAGTCAGAATGGAGCATGGAACAAGGTAAAGGATGAGCTATGGATGAGTATAGAAGACAATCAGAAGCCAAGTTCCTTGACTGAGGAACTGAAGCCTCAGAGTCGAAGCTTCACAGTGTGTTAAGGAGTCTAATGTATCTTTATCTTTATTTTAGGCTTCTTGTATCTATGTTAAGTACATTGTTAATTGATAGAGTTTAAGTGGATTTAATTTAATTTGATAAAGATTTTATTTTTCATATTTTAACTTGTTTTAATCTTATTTCGGAAAATATCTTTTTAGTTAAAATATCTTGATGATTAAAAGATTTTTTGTTTTTGATTTTTATCCTATTAGACTTTATGTTCTTTGGCTAGAGGTGATCAAAGTTAGAACGGCTCGACCCGATTTTGGACGGGTTTTGGGTAGAATTTTTCCGCCCCCAAAATCGGGTCGGACCCGGCCCTTAAATTTAGTTTATTGGGCAGGTTTGGGAATGCGTTTTATGCATTTTAGTTGATTTTTTTACTCGACCCGAAAAGCCCGCATGACCGGACAATTTTGGGCACAAAAACTTCGGCCCAAAATTTGGCCCGACCCGAGAAGTGAGCTGATTTTTTAACCTTGGCCCGGCCCACCCAATGATCACCTACATCTTTGTCAAACACGAACATGTTCTTTTTTGTCAAATATAATGTTTTTTTTCAAACACGTTCAACACCTAAATAACCATGAAAAATAACGTGTGTTTTTTATAAAGACTTTATGTTCTTTGTAATGTCATGTTCTTGTCAAACACAAACATGTTCTTTTGTCAAACATAGGTGTGTTCTTTTTCTAACACTAGCATGTTCTTTTTTTTGCCCATGTTCTTTAAAATATGTCTAATGTTCTTTCCGGGTGCACCATGTGCACCCGGGTGCACTATACTATTTTCACTATACTTTGCTGACCAAGAACATGATACGGAGTACACAAAATTGTAAATACGCAGTAGAATAATTTATGCTACATGCACAACTGGAGAAATTACACTTTTTATTCATGTTTGTAAAGAGCTAGAGATGGAAAAATAAGCGTTGAGATTGAGTCGAATTTTAAATCATATGAGGTGATGAGTTGTTCCAGTTGGATCAAGCAATTTTCTATTCTATTGTCAATTACTTGTAGCTCATTATGACAAATTCAATCAATAGTCATACTTTTCAACATCAAATCAACTTCAATTTCAATTCGAGTATGGAATTGTCATGCAATTTAGATACAGATCAAGATAGTAACAGGGAACTTGGTCCATATCAGTTTTGTGAGGTGATGACTAAAATGCATATGGATAACTTTATTTCAACAATATGTCGGAAAATGAATCACCAAAAATTCACTCACAAAATCCCAGGACCTAAAAATACAGTTACATAAAATATTCTTAGACATACTAAGTTGCAAGTATCATCAATGTCAATCAGCGAACCAGAGAGTTCAGCCATCAGCATACATGCTAAGAAAGGACACAAAATTCCATTCATCTCACATGATGCGGACTGCAGAGCCAACAACAAAATGTAAAGAATATACCTGCTGAACTGCTGATAAACAAATTTGGGAACAACGATTTTGCGCAAACACATCCAAGAGAGAATTAGCCACAAAAACAGGCCATATCCATTATTGAAACAACAGTTGGCATAATAGCTATCAACTAGCCAAAATTTGTAAGAGCAAGAATTACAGGTGAAAAAAGGGAGACTCATTCAACGATAACTGCCTCAAGCAACTTCTTACTTGCCTCATTCACCTCTACATTTTCCATCTTCAATCGGCGATGCAGAGAAGGACTAGTCTTTCCAGCGGCTGCATATGTTCTTATCAATGATTCATATGCTTCTGCCCCCAAGTTATCCACAGCATTTCTCACAAGCTCCAGAAAACTTTCAGCCCCATCAACATCCTTATTTTGTTCAAAGAGCTGCATCATTGCATTGATAATTTCTACAGGTGGAACCCACTTAGTCCCATCTCCCCTTCCATTGCTTATTGCATTTTCAATACAATCAACCGATGGCTTAGTTTCCCCTTTCTTCAAATGATAATCCAGAAAGATCTCCCACGTTTTAGCATTAGGTTTAGCCCCTCTACTTCCAGCACACTCTTTGAGCTTTTGAGCCTTTTCTAACAAACCATCTTTGGCGTAAGCTCCAATGAGTGCATTTGCTATACGAATATCATAAAGTGTACAGCCAGATTCCCATTCCTTAAAGCATTTCTCAGCACCTGGTATATCTTTCAAGTTGACCAAAACCTGAATCATATTCAAGTAAGCAATATTTGGAGTTTGAGAAAAGGCAAGCCTTAAAGAGCGCCAAACACGATAAACCTCAACCAAATTCCCAGTTCTACCATATAGAGTAATGAGAAATTGGTATGGTGAGAGTGCTTTTGAAGTGTTCCGCTTCTCAAGCTCCTTAAGAGCATTCTCAGCCTTGTCCGACATCCCAGCATCAACATAAATTGATGCTAGATTGCTGTATGTTGTCCAATCTTCGGCCACTCGTCCATCCCGCTTCATCTCATCCAAAACTCTCTCAACTCCATCAATGTCATTGGAAGCTGCTAAAGCTCTCATCCAGACATTATACGTGTATACTTGTAGCATAATATTAGAGGCCTTCATTTCTTGTGCCAGAGCAGGTACTCTTTCAGGCTGACCATTTTTTGTGTACATACTCATCAGGCTGTTGTAAGACATGGCTGTAATAGGCAGACCAAGTTCCTTCATCTTCTCCATAAGTGCTTCAGCTTTATCAGAGTTCAAATCCTTGCAGTAGCAATTAAGAAGGGCACCATAACACTCTATGTATTTTGATGATTCAGGAAGATCAACAAAATAATTCTCAGCGGCAATAATGCCGTGAGTCTTGGCAATAAGATCAAGGTGGATAGCTTGGTCACTTAATGTCATGTTCATGCCCCTACTAGCCATAGTGTCTGAAAGCTGCATAAAGGTAAACCACGTCAATTTACTACCATAGAACCATGGAGAATTGTGATGAGAAAACAAAATCGGAAAGGTAAAAGATTTGGAAGAAAGGATCAGCACTCATTACCAGTAACAAGAAAGCATGCAATTACAACTATGCTATCATTAGATGAGCTTATAATATTCCTATAATGTTATAGGCTGGGTTGCATGCATGATTAGATAGTCATAAACTTGGTTTTAAAAAGGGCGCCTCGGGCGCGCCTCACTCCCTGGGAAATGGGCTTTAGCTAGGTGAGGCTCAGTCACCTACAGAAGGCGCGCGCCTCGTGCGCCTCAAAGTGCCTTTGGTAAGGCGCGCCTCGTGCGCCTCAAAGTGCCTTTGGTAAGGCGCGCCTTTGCGCCTCTAGGAAAATAACTAAGATTTAAGTTATAAATTGAAGAATGATGGACATTTTTTCAATTCAGACTACCTTAGCTTTAAATATATCATTACTTAATTTATTATGAATCTTTTCAATTGGTATTAAGTAATATCAAAGTAAAAAATAATTTGAAATAAATATATAAATACATGCGTCTTGCATACGAAAGGCGCGCGCCTTCGCCTTGCGCCTCGCGCCTAGGCTGCAAGGACCATTTGCGCCTTGCGCTTTTTAAAACTAAGGTCATAAATATGCTACTGTCTATTAGTATACTTAAAAATCTTTTTTTTTTTTTTTTTTTTTTTTCCATAATCATATCAATATATAATATTATTCAAAAAAGTAATTATAAAAGAAGAATACTAACAAATGAACTTATGAATTTTGGAGTAAGATGAGTGAATAAATCTTTGTTAGAACCTAATTTAACTAAAGGATTCCATTACATAATGTTCCATCAATATTTTATTGCTTATATATCCTGCAAATTATTAAACTCTCCACCAAATGATAAGAGCTTTTGATTATAGTATATGTGAGACAGAGGAAGGAAAGGAGACTACGAGAGCAATCATAGCAGTAGAAAAAGTTACGCAGAGCACGTAATGGAAATTTGAATGCAAAAAGAAATATTTATAAACACAAAAATGTAAAAATTAAACAATATTCCAAAGGTATTTGAGAATGCTATAACGAATGGGTGATTCACTGGATACAAAAAGACAGCTCCAAGTCAACAAATGACAACACCAAAGCCTTGAGTACCCGGTCAAAATTTTAGGACCCGAACTTGGAATTGGTTGGAACCGGGTCCTAAAATTCAGATCCGGAATTGGAATTGGTTCAACAGGGTCCTAAAATTTAAGAATTGGTATTAGAACCACCGGGTACCGGTACCTGTTCCGGTTACCCACTTATGTATGTAATTGTTAAAATATAATACAAATTATAATTCTTATTTTAGTTAGGTTCATTTTTAGCGTTTAATACTTATATTTATATATGCATTAAACTATTTGTATTTATGTTAGCTATTAATAATACTTTTTTAATTTACAAATTAGATACATTCAACATATTTTTATTATTTAAAATTTATTTAGTTTAGCATATATTAGGTAACCGGGTACCCAACCGGTTCCGGTTTCAAAAAGTTTAGAATTGGAATTGGTTTTAACCGGGTCCTTAATTTATTACCTGGAATTGGATCCGGACCTGCCGATTCCTAACCGGTTCCGGTTCCAATTCCGGTTACCCGGAATTTTTGCTCACCATATCCTGAGGGTAAAAAGGGAGAAGCGCATCAATTTCATCTACAATTCTTCCACTGCAGTGGGATGTTTTCTTTTCAAGGATAGCACTTTGCATACTAGAACCAAAGTTACTCTAAACTAACTCTATTATTGTTAATTTTAGCCATAGGTTCTTGTAAACTGATTCTTTTATGTGTTTAAAACTTTTGTATTCCTAATTTCTTATATTAGTTTTCTAACATTACAGCCTTATATATTTATTAGATTCCAATTGCACACAGAAATCAAACTCTATAAAATCCAGGTCATTTTAGAGTACTATACAGATTTATGAGGTACAAGGGTTCAAGGACATCCAAGGAAAAAGGAAAACCGTATTGGTCTATCCTACACAGACTTCCAAAGGTCTTGCCTCTTAAAGGACCAAAGACAGGAGATCAATATTTAAGATTGTCTGATTCCGAATCCTTTTAGCTCCACATACTTTGTACGTAGTACAAGATTAACGCTTTGTTTGGATAGCAAAGAAGGAAGGAAAAGAAGGGGAGGGAAAATGGAGGAAGGGAAGGGAAAAGAAAGGGAGGGGGAGGTGAGCTCCATTTTCCCTCCAAATATCTCCAATTTTGGAGAGATTATGGTTATTATAGAGAAAGGGAAAATGGATCCCTCCCTCTCCTTCCCCTTCCTATCCCCAATCTTTTACCCAAACAATAGATTTTGTCCCCCTCCATTTCTCTTCTCTTCTTTTCCTTCCATTTCTTCATATCCAAACAAAGTGTAAGAGTCCATTTCACTAATGCAACACAATGATCAATCAACAAATCATTCATCAACTGTTTGCATTATTAACTATACACAAACTGGAGCTTACCAATAAAAAAACTTTCAATAATAAAAAAAATACCCATTTGCATCAATAACACTACTTTGTATTAATCTTCTGAAATCACGCACATATTCAATTAAAAAAAAAAAAAAAAAACCCAAAAATGCACAAATTAAGCTGGAAAACAATCAAAACAAACCCACAAAAAAGAGGAGAGAGAAAAAAGAAAGACCTTAAGAGCAGCATAATAATGCCTGCGTTGTCGAAGCTTCTTAATGGTATCACCAACTTCCCATTTGTAAACTTTCTTACGACTTTTGAGGAACTCATTCAATTGATGACGAACACTAACTTCATCTCCGCCATCTTTAAACAGTCTACGATATAAAGCTTCTTCAACGTATCTCTTTGATCTGTTTGCTATGTTCTTCGTCTTCCCTTTCAATGAAATCGACGCCATTTTTCCCCAGATTTTCGAATCGGCAGAAATTGGGGAAATTGGGGAAATTGGGTTTAATTTAGTTAGGGTTTAGGGGTTTTCGGTCAGTTTGTGAAGTAGAACTATTTCATTTTAGTCAATTGAGAGAGAATGTAGTAACATTGGGCCTATATAACATGTCCATCTCAAGTAATGGATTCATCAACAAAGTTGGGCTGAAATTATATGTTGGCTGATTCGAATTAAATCTTTATTACGTGTGTATACAAATTCTTACATAGACCCTAATCCACCTATCCTATGTGGACCACGCATTAAACACACTCTTCTTTTAATTAAACACAACTTCACCTTGTTCTTCAAATCCCGTCATCTTAACTTTTTTTTTTCCCTTCTTTATAAGATCACTCTTCCCTATTTAATCTGATTTTTTTACTTCTTTTTCGATCATAATTTAGATCCACAACATTGTCTAGATCAAAGAAATCATCAACATTATCTCTTCTTTTTCTTTTTTTCTCCTTAATTTCACTCTTCTGAACTTCCTCTCTCTTCTTCTTAACATTTTCTTGCTTCTTCTGAACTTTCTTCTTTTGAGACTCTTTCTTAGCCTTTTTTTTAGCTTCCTTTTTAGCTTGATTTTCAGTCTCCTTTTGACTTTCCTTTTTAGCTTGATTCTCAACCTCCTTTTGAGCTTGATTATCAGCTTCTTGGATTGGTGTTGGGTGGTGGATTTGGGTTGAAGTTCAGATTGGTTGCTGTAATAAAACAAATGCTTCTTGGATTAAAAAATAACAATATCAAAATTTGAAGAGGAATCACAGATTATATGAAATAAAATCATAAAAATTTGAACAGTAATAACAAATTATATGAACTAAAACCACAAAATATTTGAACATTGATCACAAATTATATGAACTAGAACCACAATTGATAGGCGTGTCGCGTACCTAACAAAAATAAACCTAACTAGACCACTACTATGTAGACGGGCAAGCAAGGGTCGGATCCCAAGAGACTATGATTCAACCAATTAAATAGACTCAAGCAATTACCAAGCAAGTAACCAAATCAAATAAATGAGAATCAATATCTAAAAGACTAGTTAAAACGATTAAATCTAAATAAGATGACAATTTAATGCTAAAAACATCCAAGATCAAGCTTCACCACGAATACAATTAATGCAATAGTCGTTCTACCCCTAACACATAATTTAATTGATTAAAGAGGAAAAGTAATCCATGAACAATACCAATGGTCTCTCCCGAGTTATCAATGGCTTCTCTAATCACAATCAAGCCTACTTCCGTGGATTCATGTAAATTAAAGACCTTAAGCACATTACTCTAACTTCCTAATCATCCATTCAACTACTCCCGTGAAGAACTTCAAACCCTTAATTGATTTATTTAAATCCGTCAAAACCCAACTCCCATTGCATTAAAACAAAGGATTAATAACAATACCAATTATCCCTAATCTAGTATTGACATAAGCATAATCAATTAAGCAAATCAATTACAATTATTATTAGAGAATTTAAAGAATTAAATCATGCATTAATCATATTCGGGTTCCGCTAGATCTTGGAATAAAGAACTACTCACACATATTAATGAAAGCAAAAACAATAATCAATGAAGAAAACATGATTAATAAGCAATTAAAAGTAAAAGAAGAAATAAAGATGAATACCAATTGCTTGAATGAAGAAAAGTACCAATTGTTGATGAATAAAGATTAAAACTTGAAAGTGGAATGTAATCTAGATATAGAGAGAATATTAGGGTTCTACTAGTGTTTTAAAACTGCTAGGATGATGATTAAGTCCCTAGTCGGTTTTTACAAAGGGGTATTTATATCCCCAATTAAGAAAAATCCCGAAAAAGAGGGAAAGGAGCTCCGCGAAACTCCGCCCGGTCAGACCGGGCAAAGCCGCCCGGTCGGGCGCGACAAACGCTTTGGCTCTAAATTTGATATCCTGTTTGCCCGGTCTGCCAGGGCAATGCCGCCCGGTCCGGGCGGACGGGGGCTGAACTTCTTCACTTCTTTTCTTCTTCGCCCTGGCTGCCAGGGCAATGTTACCCTCCAGGGCGGACACGGGAAAAATCTCTTCCATCCTACTAAGCACTCGTGACTATCCAAAATGCGTCCAAATCATCCGAAAGTCTTCATATGCCTACAAAAATCAATCAAATAGACCAAGCCACACTAGAAGAAGGATATTAGCGAGAAATAGCTCCGTAGAGCTTAGAAATCATACAAAAATAGCTACAAATCGAGGGTAAAGTATGGTATAGAATGTGTACATCAAATTCCCCCAAGCTATCTTCTTGCTTGCCCTCAAGCAAGACAATAAATGATTAACAACAACCAAATAAACATACTTCATCCCATAATACAATTGAAAAATCATACTCGAAATCGAGATCAGACACACAAGCATCTTAGCCAACCAATCACCTCATTCAGACTATCAATCAACCTGAATAGCCATCAAACAGAGTCAACCATGTACACATAAGGAATCGATGACTAGAATATCTCACTTAGTGGTCACTCCGCACAATTTTATGTGGCGAGCTAAAAATGAGCCCGATCTCTCTCCATCCCCACTAATAATAACAACCCCCATTCTCACAACACTCGTGTGTTTAGAGGGTAATAATACCGCTCAACCTAGTCAAAAGTCGACTCGAAATGTGACACATACTCCAGCATTTTGACAAAAGACTCGTTTCACATGAACACAATACTATGCACGAAGGTCAGAAGGTCTTTTTTTTTTCAAGCTTGTAATGTTGGCCGGGTGAAAATGGGTAGGAAACATTTGGAAAATGTAGGCAAATATAGTCCCTTAGGGAAGCCATCAAAAATGAACAAATACAAATCAAAACCACATCGAACTAATTCACAAGATCGAATACACACTCCAAACACAACTTGAATTAAGAGCAACTACCACCTTATTCACCCTACATAATCAATTCATCACACTATTCTTATTTTTGAAGCTCTTTTATTTATCCTTCAAGAAGATGAAATTTTTTTTCTTTCTTTTTTTTTTTCTTTTTCTTCTTTTTTTTTTCTTTTTTTTTTATAACAAACTATAAGAGCTTAAAAAATAGCAAAAATAACCTTCAAGCTTCAAATTAATCTTCTCCAAAACATCATCACAAACCATAGAGAACACCAAGATAGATGGCTCCCCCAAGCTAGACTTGGGATAAGTTACTAATTGGGGCCGATAGGTTAATTTTGTGACTTAGATGAAAAACATGGACAAGGCTACAACATGGGTATGTAAGCAAGAAGGGGACATACGTTTCTAAATTCATCTGGAGGCTACCTAATGAACATGGCCTTCGTCCTCCTCATCATGCATGTGCAATGTACCATGACACACTACTAAAAGTCTCAAGACAAAAATAAGATCAATGTCACACCAGGAACTAACACACATGAATAAATAATAAAGGCTCAAGCCTCACAGTTAGCACAGTCAAGCTCCAGATTCATACACATTTGCACAAAGTTGATATCCATTAGGCCAAGACAATCCAATATCAGATGATGATCATTTAATCCGCATTGCAAGTCTTTCAATCAAAATCAAGCTAAAAACCTTTAAATCGTCAAGGATAGGGGCACAGAGAAGTAGTTTACTAGCTATTCATCGTCATGATTCACAAAGTAACTGCCCAAAGCCAAAAGTAATCCCTCCCCCAAGCTAAACTTCACATTGTCCTCAATGTGAACATATATCGAATAAGAACGAGCAAGGGAAAAAGAAAACTAGTCCCTACTGGCAGAGGAGGGATCATACCTAAGGGCGAAGCTGGGACCGCCCTCAAAATAACATCGCATCATAAACCCAAGGCACTAAAAATAATAATAATAATAATAATAATAATAATAATAATAATAATATTAATAATAATATTAATAATAATAATAATAAATAAATAAATAAATAAAGGGAAAATAAAATAAATAAATAAAAACGGAATGGGTTGCCTCCCATTTAGCGCTTGTTTAAGGTCTTTAGCTCGACCCCTCTTTAGTAGCTCAACCTGGGTCACCACATGGAGAAGATACTCTGTGGTATTTCTCATAAATATATCCACCTCCAAACGACTCCTTCAAATTAGAGTTGATGTGCTTTGTATCCGAGCTTATTTTGATGTAGTTAAACCCATCATGTGGTGGAATATTGTCTTTTTTGCGCACATGATTTCTATTAGAAACACACTTATTAACCAAAGGGTTAGTAGCATCAATTCTCAAACAGGTACCACCATCAAAAGTAAAATTATGGTCATTGAAAAGCTTAAACACAACTTGTTTATCCTGAGCTCTAATGGTCACTTGTCCTTTAGGAACATCTATTAACGCTTGACTTGTAGCAAGAAAAGGGCGACCAAAGATGAGTGGGATCTTATGGTTTTCTTTCATATCCACTACAACAAAGTCAACAGGAAAAACAAGTTCACCAATCCCAACTAATACATCTTCAACTACACCCTTAGGGAGTCTAACAGTTCTATCATCCATATGAAGAGATATAGGAGAGGGTTTAAGGTTTTTCAAACCTAATTTGTCATACACTGAAGAAGGCATTAAATTAACACTAGCACCTAAATCACACAAGACCCTATCAAAATATGTTTCGTTTATCATACAAGGGATAGTAAAACTACCAGGATCATGCAATTTAGGTGGTAAGCTATCATGTAAAAGATTAGAACATTTCTTCTTTACTACCACACTTTCTAATTTCTTATCATTATGATCATGATCTAGAATTCCTTTCACAAAATTTGCAAATTGAGGCATTTGAACTACAAGATCAGAAAAAGGAATGGTAGCATATACCTTCTTAAGAGTCTCGGAATACTTCCCAAAATGCTTATCGAGCACAAATTTTGATAACCTTTGCGGGAAAGGCACCGGCTCCTCATATTCTTGTGGAGCAACATGTTTGGGACCTTCTCTCTCATGCTTCTCAGTTCTTGACTCCACATTGCACACTTTCTCTTCTAATCCACCCGTAAACAAATCATCACTCTTCACGAAAATTGCATTGCATGGTTTTGTCTGGACTTTTGCTTGATCTTGAAGAGTTGATAGATGACTCACTTGTTGTGATAGTTGAGAAAGATGAGTTTCTATCCTCTTATTTTGAGCAACAAGCAATTGAATCGAGTTTTCAAAATATTCATTTTGCTTTGCTTGTAAATCAAATTGCTTTGATATAAGATCTTGTTGTTGACGTTGGGAGGTAGCAAAAGTCTCCATAATGAATTCAAGATTTGAAGATTAAGGTGGTGGTTGGTGCATGGGATGATGATTGAAATGTGCCCTTGCTTGAAAAGCTGGTGGTGGTGGAGGATTTGCTATAGCTTGAGTGTTCTTGTATGAGAACCCTTGATGATTTCTCCACCCTTCGTCAAATGGCCTTGTGGAGGTCGTGGTATAGAAAGCATTAGCTTGCTCAATCGTCATTCCATCATAATTGGGTTGACACTCCCGTGCAGTATGGCCTTGCAATCCACACATCTGACAAGTT